ATATAAATTTTTTTTAATTTTTATAATAATATATTAAAATAAAGTTATTCTAAAGTTTTAATTAAGAAAATTATTAGCAATTGCATTAAACAATTTCAAAGATAGCCTTTACAAAGTAAGTTTAGTAATAGGTGAATTTTTACTATTAAACTTAAAACAATAACTCTGCAGTTTCAGTTTTACTAAAAAAACTTAGTAATAACTGCCATCACAGCTTCGCTTTACTAAGAAAACTTAGTAATAACTGCTATTGCGGCTTCAGTTTTACTAAGAAAACTTAGTAATAACCGCCATCTCAGCTTCATAATAATTTTATTAGTAAAAAAACATTTTCAAAGCTGTGAACGCGTTTTTTTTACTAGGTTTCTTAGTAAAAAACGTCTTTGAAGTCTCAGAGTCATTTTTATTATGTTTCTTAATAAAATAGGGTTTCTGAAGCTGCGGAAGCATTTTTTACTATGTTTTTCTTAGTAAAAAAAGCATTTTTGAAATTACAGAAACATTTTTTACTATGGTTTTCTTAGTAAAAAAGCATTTTCAAAGCTGCAGAGATGCTTCTTACTATGGTTTTCTTAATAAAAAAGGCATTTCTGAAGCTGCAGAGACACTTTTTGCTATAGTTTCTTAGTAAAAAAGGTATTTCTGAAGCTGCAGAGGCATTTTTTACTATAGTTTTCTTAGTAAGAGCCACTCTTAAAACTTTGAAAATGGCTTTACTATTAATTCAAATCAATCAAATATTTAAATACTTAATTTGAATTTGATCAAATTGAATCAATCATTAATTTGGATTTGATCAAATAAATCATTCTTTGATTTGAATTTGATTGAATCAAAATATTCAAATATTAAATTAAATTGCAGAACGCTACCTTTCATCATAACACCAGAATTTATGATATTATCAATTTAACCATCAAATATCAATCGACGCATTGGTTCAGGTTTAATTTTTCTATTGCTATTCGGTAAAGAGTCTAAGAATTATAAATTTAAAAATTAATAAATATATTCAATCAGAAAATTTTCATAATAATGAATTACCTAATATTCCATTCATACGTTCGAAAGAAAAATACCAGAATGTATACAATAACCCATAATCAAATGATCAATCATATAAATAAAAGATAAATAAATATTTAGTGTAATTTTATTATAATCATGATTAACTTTTATTAGTTTTGCTATTTTAATTAATCTTCGATGAACTTCTAAAATAAGATCTGATTCTATAATTCGACTAACTAAAATTAAGCAAATTCTTACAAAATGTGTAAGAATTTTTTATATATAGCTGGAAGATGTTCCTAAAGTAATATAATAGCATAAACAGTAAAAAATATTCGCTATTGATCGGCTGTGAAATTAGAAAATCCTTCTCTTTCATGAATTTTATCCAGAATTCGATCCAAATCAAATGGAATCTAAAACTCATTATTTTTTTCTGAATTTTTTTCAGGGTATTTGATGTTAAAATTTCCTATCAATCCAAATTCATTTTACTATCCATCGTGCAATTCCTAAAAATAAGCAATGCATCAGGTCAATTATGATAAATCTAATAGGGTCAAAATATAATAATTACAATAATTCAGAATATCTTACACCAGTTTGTTTTACAAATCACTTTTGTGAAGCATCAGAATTGCAATATCTTCATTCTAAAGCATTCTGATGATATTCAGTTGGATCTCGCATAAAGAACCAATCATCAAAATCATTCATACCGGCAAAATTATGCTACTGATTTTCATAATTTGCTTTCTTCTCACACTTATGATATAATACTAAGGCTAAAACATAACCACATATTTTTCTAGCAGCTGGTATATCATATGAAATAAGAATTAGAGCTGCACGAATGGTCCTTTCTTCTTGAAATTTGTATGTTTTATCTATAGTTATTCCATCTCAAAGAAATATCAATTCATTAACAATTAATGCTAAATAATGATTTATTTTGTGCAAACTTACTTCACTTGGTCTAGGTAAAAGGCTAAGAGTCAATATGTTTTCACGTTTGAATCAGATATCATACGGCAAATTGCATATAGCAGCATAAATAACACCAATACTATATACAGTGCCTTTATAAGGCTGGAACTAATCCAAGTTTAACATTAATCCAAGATGAGAATCAGCCACTTCATCTCTAAAAACGTTTTGCGAATTTTCTTTAGAAGATTATTTCAATGTCTGCCATACTTGACCATCATATATATCAGTCCTAATATTATCATAATGCCGATGATTTGCCCATTGTCTCAAACAACTTTCATAACAAGGCTGACGATACATCAAAGCGAGTTGTTGTCTGATTTCAGAAAATGGAAATATTAAATTAGGTTGAATTACTACTTGATTTGCCAAAACACCGATGGTTTAAGATATAGTTGTATTGCAAAGTTGTGATTTACGGAGTGACGAATTAGGAAATTCTACATGTCAGCACTTCATTATAGCAAGTGAATCTTCTTGTCTAAAATTATTACTTCCTGTTTTTATACAGCTTATGACATTTCGGACAAGAAACGAAGCTATGAAAATGATCTTTTAATCCAAGTTTTTTCCATTTTTAAGTACATTGAATCTGAAAAGTCTTTAAAATCATCTCCACTGATTTCTGTCAAGACTAATTTCATAAATTTTATCAAAGCCTCAGTTGCTGTCTCCGTTATGTTGAATCTTATCCGAAATGTCATAATCTAGAGCAAAATCCATAAAATTTGGTTATCAATTATTGATCCTATTTCTGGTGGGTGCTGAAATGACTCATAATCAGGTGGTGCATAATTCTTAAATGTTTCGTAATCTTCATCATTATCTGATTCTCCATCATCTGATTCATTTCTATTACTACTACTACCTGAAATATTGTCTTCTTTAGTGGTATATTCAGAAGATTCGGAAGGCTTATCAACACTTTGTTCGGAATTGCCATCAGAAGGATTTATGTTAAATTTTAGTCGATTTTTGTATCTATTTATACGTCTTCGAGATACAAATGTAGAATTAGAATCCTCCTGATATTCATCATCTTCTGATTTATGTTCAATAATTTGTCTAGCTGAAGTTGATGTTGTTAAAGACTCTCCCGTTTCTTTCTGAATTTTGAGTTGATGAAATGCATCTGAAATTGAGCTTTGTGAATATCGATATCTTGTTATTACATTACGCGATGATGATGTTC